GGGGGGGGGGGGGGGGGGTGTTGCTTAGAAATTTCAATCCCTCCTCCCCCCCCCCCAAAGATTGCACCCTCCCTTCCCCCACTACCTCTCGCATTTTGCGTTGGGCTGGGATGCTGGGCCGGACCCACCTGGGCAGACGGCTGGCTGTCAGGATGTTCGTCACAATCAGAGGGGCCCAGAAAATCACGCTCGTCGCTTAGCAGAACGGAGGAGAAACAGTCCACGGCATCTGAGCACCCCTTCATTTTTTCTTTTTTATTTATTTTTTCCCTTCCTTATCTGCCTATTCTTTCTGGAAGCAGCACGGGTGTGGTGGACACACAGACACACTGTCCATCTGAAGGACATACTGATTTCGTTCTCTGCCTCGCCTTTCTTTGCGTCCTTTTTCTCAGCTATCAAATGAACAATCCGCATGACTATCGTAAAAAGAAACCAAGGTCGGGCAGAACATCCATCATCACTGACCTTTCCTTGGATTAGTTTCAAATTTCAATAAATGGTCAACTTTTTTTTTTTTTTTTTTTTTAATAGCAAATGCTCCAATCTATTCGTGGGGAGCAGCGCGTGCTGGGAACCGGGCCCAGAGTCCCATATCGAATTGTACAGATCATTAAGAACATTTGAGGACATTTGAGATCATTTGGGGCAATCACCCGGCTTCGGCGGAGATCAGTCTGTGAACATCTAATGACCTACAATGAATGGTCAACTTCAGGTCTCCTTCAAAAAAAAAAAAAAAAAAAAAAAAAAGGAAGAAAAAGGGTCTCCTTAAAATATGTGAGCAGTACAACAACAAATTCAGAGCGGTTTCTTATGTAAAACTGCCCTTGGGACATTCCTGAATGAATATGTGAATTTGTGCACAATTAAAGCCAAATTCAGCTGGAAACATCAAAGCCTGAGCATGCCCATAATGTCTAAAAGGAGAACAATTAAACCAGCAGTACTTCTGCGCCTCTTTTTGCCGTGGCGGATTCCCCCTCCGCGTCATGCTTTGCCGAGATGTCAGTATGGCGTTCTCAAACTTTTCATTTTTCTTTTGGATGGCGCCGCCATCCATTTTGGTCCAGTAGCCCCACGTCCCCGGAGATATTCAGATTGGCTTGATTTCGATTCTCAAGTTTGCCGTGGTGATGTACTGGCAGTTTAAAACCGACACGGACACCGTTCTCCATCGATCGTGTGATCGGAGGAGCGGAAGAATGAGCGGAAGAATCGTGGGCAATACGAAAATTGCAGCAAATGTCGAAGAGGGAGGGATGAGCGGAAGAATCATGGCCAGTACGAAAATTGCAGCAAATGTCGAAGAGGGAGGGAGTGTCGTGATTATGTATGACCAGGGAACTGTTGACGGGAATGCATATCAATTACTGACACTGTTCGGTGTACAAGTCAGCCAGGGCTCTTCGTTCATGTTGCCGTCTTGACCGGTTCTACAGACGGCATTTCATGGTACCAGACTTTGATTCTACTAGTGGAGGTAATCTCCATGTGAAGTTGTTGCAGTTTATACTATTCAGGAAGAGAGAACACACAGAAGAGAGAGACCGCAGCATAAATTTGGCAGCAAAATAGGCTAAGGTTCGTGAAACATGCCTGGTTGTTCAAGGCCCAAAATGGAGGATTGCCACACAGAAGGATATACAAGATAACCCCCAAGCTCCATACGTCTGCAGACGCTCCATATGACTGATTTATGCATTCGGGGGACATATAATACAGACAACCTGCAGGCCGCATGAATGGTGACTTTTCCCCTGTGCAAAAGACAAAAATCCACCGTCACTACTCAGTTCA